TGAGAGAGAGAGGGAGGGAGAGAGACGGAGAGACAGAGAGAGGGGGCATAGAGCAGCAACCATGAGGAGAGCGGGCATGAGAGAGAGGGAGGGAGAGAGACAGAAAGCGGGAAGGGGAGAGAGACAGACAGAGAGTTTTAAGTGCTATTTCTAAGTTTTGGGACAGAGCAACCAGAAAAATGGTGATGACATTTATTGAAAGAGAAAAGTTGTGAGGAAAACTGGGTAAGTGTGGTGTAGTGCTGACAAGAATCAAGAAAGCGGTTTAGGATGCTGGTAGATACATGAGTAGCCACTGACTACATGAGAAGGCTTTAAAGACTAAGTCAAAGCTGGTGCGATACGATTAAGTTTAGAGTTAACGTGACTCATTAAATGACAAAAAGTTGTGTAAATTTGGAAAAAAACTACAGATGAAGTCTAGAAATCCACTTCAAAACTGTCAACATGTTGAGGACAGATTCAGTCTGGCAAAGGAACTAAGTGAGAGCAGCAAACAGGAAGCAGAAAGAAAACAGAAACATAGCATTCTGGAAATCAAGTTAACTGTGTCCCCTGTGATCCACTGTGTCTGTCCCTGAGAGGCTGAGGAAGCAGGAAACGGAAATGACCTTTGGGGGAAGGAACGTGGAAGCTGTGGGTGATGTTAGCCAGGATAATTTCAAAGGCATGGAGGGGATAAATGGTGATTAAAGCCAGTTCACAAAACAAAAAAATCTGAAACAACTGAACATTTGCCTGGATTAAGGATGAGAGAGGCGCTCACAGAGCAAGACTGGGAGCACGAAGGAATCTTTGATACGATGGAGCTGTTCTTTACTTTGACTGACATCCGGAAAAAGTCTCAAGAGCCTAGGAAAGGTGAGTCTCAGTGTAACTAAAAACAAAATTTAAAGAACCGGGGAAGTGAAATGAAGTCACCGAGAGCAGAGTGAAGAGAGAAAGAGATGGTGCAAGGATGAGGAAAAAAGTTCTCCAAGTATGCTCCAGCACTGCTGGGAATAAGCTGGAATAGAGGAATGGTCCCTAATCCTGAGTGGAAGAGAAAACATAAGGCAAAAAGGTCTTAAGTGAATAAGTGGATACTCCTGTCTTTGAGACGAGGTATATTCACGTGCAAGAGGAGGACAGAAGGTTTTTGGTCATTGGTCGACATGGCACTAGAAATATGGAGAATTTTCTTAATCAGTTATAAAATGAGCCCCAAAAGGATTTAAGTTTGAGGAGTAATGAGAAGACATGAAATAATGATAGTGAGAGACCAATTTGTTGCTACATTTTGTGTGTGTGTGTGAGAGAGAGAGACAGACAGATACACACACACGAAGCAAGCATCCCTGAATACTGCCAGTTAGAAACGTAGTCCTAAAACTCTCTACCCCTTTTCAAGCAGTGAGAGCCCCGATCCAGACAGCACTCTAAGTTGTCCAACTCACCACAGAGCAACAGCAGGAGCCAAGGCAGCATGAGGACCAGGTTGGGGATGGTACCTTGAAGGTGCCTCTCACCAAAAGAAAAGAAAAAAAAAAAAAAAAAAAAGCAGAACCAAACTACTCGCATAGGAGTCGCAGAACGTCTGAAGTTTGAGGAAGTCAGGACCAGAAGTTAACCAGCATTCAGAGTGAGCTTACAGAAATAGACATGTGAATTGAACGATGTCCAGTGGTTACTCTCCATTCCCTTTCGTGAGCTGAAACATATAAGATACTCTCTCCTTCGTGTGGTTTGG